TGAAATCTTACGGTTAGTAGGATATCCTTTAATATGGTGGCATAGTTGTTGATTACAGTCACCTTTTTAACTGACACATCAAACCATATTTCAGATATTGACAAGGTTCTTTACATGTATTTCCTGTATATCCTGTAGGATATGCTGGAAGAAAAGGGAGTGAGAACAGACTTTCTAATGGTATGTATATCTTGTATCCTTCATCAGGGAGAAACTTGTTCTGGCAACAGCAAAACGATTCTGAGATCTTGCATCAAGGTCATTTAAATCACAGCTCTAGACCATTTGAAAGTTTATTTATTTATTCATTTATTTATTTATTTATTTGTAAAGTTAAAGAGCATATACACACCTCCATTCGTTTACCCTTTTAAATTTCTCTACATTTTATATTGCTTTAGCTTAATGGTTTGAACTTCCCTAAAACTCTTTTTAAAAAACACTCAAAGAGACTTCCGGCTACTAAATGTCAATATTTTTTTATTTGTTTTTCTCTCCTTCATTTTTTCACTATTCTTGCATACATTTTTCGATATATTTTTATATTAATGCACCTTAAATTCCCTAACATTTCTTGAGTATAAAGCAAACAAAAATTTTAACTCATGAAACTGCAAGGATACATGTCAATCAAACTTGATCGAAAATCAGTTATGGTAATTTTCTGATAATAAAGCTTCTTAACATGTTTCCTAATATATCGGTCTGAAAGGCTCTTGTAGTATGTAAATTGTAAAATTATACCGAAACTTTGAATATTATAACCTTTTAATCTATGCCCCTGCCCTTTTATATCTGACGACATGGTTAATAGGCGTTGAAAATCAACAGATGTAAGTTCTGCATTTAGCCGAGTATCATAAAAATTCCATAGCAGAAACCATGTTTGTCGATGGAATTTAACAAATGATATATATTTTAGAAAGAAATTTACTACTATATTGACACTGAGTCCGACAGAATATACATGTACGTATATAGATATTGGTATTGGACATTCTTATACTATGAAAATAGCAATAAATTGTTTCGTACGAATGCACCTGTTGTTCTGCATCATATATCCTAGGACACATTTCCTTGGAGTAGGCCTCTTCCTGGTGGTAGTAAACCGAAACAGTGTTAAACGCTTCCATTTGTATTTGTAAGGAATATAAGGATATAAAAACTATAAGAATTCTTTTAAATCCTATATTAATAACTGATGTCATATGGGATTGATTTCTTTTTATCTTTTGTCAACGTTTCCTATTCAGTTGTAACCTAAATATACAGACAAAAGTTCACGGCAAGAGTGACAGGAGGCAATTACAATGTACTCCTTAATGCACATTGTTCCACCTCTGGTGCATGTACCCTCACGGTAGCTCAGTCGGTAGAGCGCTAGGTCCGTGATTAGAAGGATGTGTGTTCAAGCCCCGTTCACGACTGAGCTAAGTCAAAAATAGGTAGAAACTGTTACCTTTGCTAAGCTCTCCGCACTTTGAAGTGAAAGTTGCGGTTCTTTCGAACAAGACCTTAAGAAACTGTGGCCCCATGTCAAGGCAGACTTGCACGATAGAGATCCCTCAGGGCTATAAGGTCCTGAGTGAGTAAAGATCTAAACTTGAATCCTTTCGCCGGTTTATGGTGACGTTTCTGTATAAATGGAAAATGGCCACGATCAATGGCATCTTGTGCATGTATACTTCTATGAGCGACTTTGATGATGGTCACTAAGAGAATATACAGTGTGTATGGGGTATACCTTAGCAAGGAATTACATTGTGATACAAAAACATGGAGCCGTTACATGCCATCACCAAAGGAACCCCAGAAAACGATGAATTAGACGTTAATTATAAATCAGTAACATATTAATTGCAACAAGGTTAATTTGACTATATGAAAATTTGATTTTTCGTGGACTGTATGGATATGAGAAATTTATTTCAACAGTTTCCCTGTCCTCTTCCTCGGCATCACATCATAATATCATATATCGGGATAATTGTGATTGGCTTGTGTGGTGACAAGTAAGAGATACAAGAAAAAAACAGTTTTATTTCGAGATCGTTTAAATAAAAATTTGAAGGATGCTATTTCAAGGTTGTGTGGGGAAAACCTTGAAAGATATTGTTGTATGGTAATTGCTGTATTTAACGACAATTGTTGCGTATTTTGTTTTGATTGATCTATGTGTATGTAAAACGTACACACCTCTTTTATTTTAATAAATACTCTTAAATAACATTTCGGGGGAGGCAATTACATGTCTCGATATATGAATTTTTATTGGTGCCGCAGCGTTGTTGGTTTCCAATACTGAAGAATGTGCCCTAAGTACGATCAATTTTCAAACCAATGCAGACTGCTGACAGATATGTTGATCTGACAGCGATTTCAACAACCTCGATTAAAGTCAGCATTTCAAAAGTTTAAAGGTCGTTATATTGACCTTGTAAGCAAATATAATCTATCATTGGGCCGTGTTTTGACTGACGTAATTCATACCAATCGTTAGGTCCTAGTTATTATATCCTTAATGATATCCGCTCCTCAACCAGGAAGGATAACTTCTTATTTTATTATCTAATTCAAAAACTCTCAAAATGAAGCTTGAAATTGAAATCGTTTCCTGCAACAATTTTCATTTCCTGTCTCTCAAAGTAATTCAATGTTCTTTGAAGTCTTAGGAACGGTCTTTTAAAAAGTCGATATTTGTTTACCTTTAATCCTTAATCTAGTTTAGATACCAATGTTTATTAGCATGATTTAAAATTAAAAGTAATTTACGGTGTTTTACAATGATAGTAAACACTTTATACACCGTGCATTATAAAATATTTTATATAAACTGAAGAAACTAAAGTACCGTTTAAGTACATTATTTCAATGAAACTATCAAACCAATGGGGTTCGAATCCCACTGTGGGACGTGGAGACCGGTCCTTAGGATGAGAACGTATAAACCGAGGTCCCGTGTCGCAGTTTGTGCTGGCACGAAAAAGATCCCTCACTGCTCAATGGCCGTAGGTGCCGAGTATAGGTCAGAATTTGTAACCCTCCGCCGGCAAGTGGTGGCGTCTCCATATGAGTGAAAAATTCTCGAGAGGGACGTTAAACGACAAACAAACAATCAATCGAACCAATGCTCTCTATGCTAAAAAATAATGAAGAGAAACATGAACATATTAAGTTTTTATTAACCTGCACACTTCAGAATCGTTTGTTTACATTTTAGCCAGAGGTAGAAGGCTTTTAAACACCAGGTCCTCGAAAAAATAATTCTAGACATTGTCATTGTTCATACATTAATTTTTTTTCTTGTCCTGCATAGAGTAAGACAATAACATACTAGTAGTTACAAAAAGTCAATAGTGAAAAATATTCCAAGAACGTCTCAAATCAACAAATATTTTTTCATAGTTACATATATATATCGTACAAACGCCAGCAATTATATATTTTTGGATACTAATTTAAATTTCTACATGAGCGTAATATTTACAAGAAAGTACATGCTAACTATTTATAAATTAAATATATAGGATTCTGATCGATAGGTCTATTTCTCAATCGCATATGTTCAATATTGAGATGTATGCTTTGAAAATGAACGTGTTTTGTTATCTCACTTCGCTGAATCTTTTATTCTGTGCAGTTTATATCTTCATTCGTTAAGCATGTTGTTTAATTTGGGAAACTGTACCGAATTATTCAAAAGAAACTGTTTAGAGAAATACTTTTTGTACTACCGATTTTTAACAATCGGACGATCGTTTCTTTCCAGGAATGTGTAAATTAAATTAAATATGGTCATAATGTTACAAACAACACTTTAAGATTAATCAAAAGCTTTGATTTTATTGAGAATGAACAATGTATTTTTCTTGCTTTATTCAGTTCAGGGGGATAAAAATTTCAATTCATCTATTTTTCCTGCAACTTAATAGCTCTGGATTATATAAAGTTAATACCTGGATTTTTCTGGCACGGTTAATGGCAAAATACTGGTTAATTTAAATATTTCGAAATAAATAACTGTCTATTCTTTGGAGGCGTACAAATATAGTATTGCACATAAAATTGACTTTCTTGCCAAAGTACTGTTATACTTCAAAGCAGCAAGAACTTAAAGAAACTCTTGACAAACTGGACAATGGAATATCACTATAGTACTTGGGCCATGACAAGATGGAACAAGCTAATATTCAATCTTGCCAAGAAGACTGTTAATAAAGAAGAATTCGGAGAATTGAGAATTTTATTACTTTCTTTTACATATTTAATACCTTGTAAAATCCTTCAACCATACCATTTGAAAAAGAAATTTCAATCATTATAGATGTCTTGTTCTTTATATTTCTGTTGACTAGATTGTATTTTTATGACTGTCATATGATTATGCAAACAAAACTAAGTGAAAAGTTGAACAAGATTTTTTCTTAATATCACACGTATAAAGACTCAAGAAGAATATATATATATATATATATATATATATATATATATATATATATATATATATATATATATATATATATATATATATATATATATATATATATATATATATATAAAACTTAGGCCATCTTTAGAAAACTGTTTGTTTGCCCTCTCCTGACCGACAGGCTAAAATAGCCAGACTCAATTTTTTTTTAATTCCAGGAAACGATATTTTTACTTTTCTTTTTATTTCCGATTTTTATACATTCCATCAACATCAATGTTGAAAATTTCAGAAAAAATCAATCACCTACCAAGCAAACCATTATTATATATATATATATATATATATCAAAATTTTGGTGCTTTTGATGACAAATATCTGATATCATACCATAAAAATGCCTGCTTTTTTAAAGATTCGAAATTGTTTTCTTTCTTCTTTATATAATTACTGTTAATTTTATTATTAAAATAAACGATTCTATCTTCACTTGAAATGAAGACAGCATTTATGACACACGCTATACTTTCTTTAAACCTATTCACAAATAACAATGGAAAATATACAATCAAGTTGTGCAATATTTTATTCCATGCTTGATTGATTATCAGAAAACAAAAGACGGAACTACAGGCCAAATAGAGATCGGACGATGCGTGAAGTCTCTGCGACTGAAGCTCGCCTGGTAAGGAAACTCTGGGCTGTTGACGTCACTTCCATAAACTCGTCTTTGCAAAGGTATATATATTCCGATTCATTTTCAAGCAGTTGCAAAATATCTGGTAACAATTCTGCCAACTCGTTCATGTACTGCAAAAGAGCTCGCAGACCATCATGGTCGCAATAAGCCGAGAGTTTCGTCACAGTGGCACTGATTTCCGACTTCATTTCACTAAAATTATATATTTTGTGGAACTGAAGTGGCTGCTTTCAAATCAAGGCTTTTTAGTTTAAACTAGATACAGTATATATGTCAATAGGATAAGAATGCCCCGTCTAGTATTCATATGTAATACAACAATTTGTATTAATGTACGAAGATTGAAGAAAATACTTTCAAAAATTAAAGCATAAGCTTGAAAAGCGTGAAGATAATGAAAAGTGGTATATCTCAAGAAATCTCTAAACAATGCAAATCTTTGTAGACGGCATAAACAAAGACCTTTGGAAATTTCAAAGGTGGAATCAGGTTGGAAATTTACCTAAACACAAATGTTAATTAAAGGTTAAACGAAAGGTAGAGATAAAATGTTGATGTCGTTAAATAGCCCTCGTCAATATGCATAGGCGAAAAATGCTTGAAGAAAATATATTAAGTACTGTCTTGGAAACAGAGCTGATTGTTTTTTTTTTTTAAGAAAAAGGTCAAAGGAAAGACCCAATGAAAAAATGTTGATGCTGTTGAAAAAGCTCTGATCAATGTTTATGTTAAGTATTAAGGCTTGATTAAATATCTAAAGTGTCTATGAAATTGAGATAATCACTAATTGAAGAAAGCGAGATCAAGGTCAAAGAAAGGTCTAGGTCAAAACATTGTGATGCAGTAAAACAATTCTCATCAGTATGTGGATATGAAGTAAGACAATAATATCTTGCATAGTGTCTTTGAAAATTATCTAACCGCAAAGTGTGACGGAAGGAGAGATGAAGGATGGAGGGACGGAAGGGCAGAAGGACATAAAACGGACATGATACACACTACACGCCAATGCCATATTCATGACAGGGCATAACAAATAATGATGAGAGGCATAAAAGAAATCAATAATTATTAACCTGCATACGTTAGAATCATTTGTTTTCATTTTACTCATAAGGGAGGAAGCATTAAACACCAAGTCCTCAAAAAACATTTTCTGGACATCGTCATTGATCATACAGTCGATCAACTTGTCCAGCCCTGCAAAAGGTGAAACGTGGCAATGGTATAATAGCACAAACAAGAAGGAATTATTTCCTAACCGCTAAATTTTCATACATATTTTTTTTTTCAAATACCGTATTAGTGGAATCTTTAGCGAGGCACAAATTTAGCAATTTTTCATAAAGGTATAGTATTTAATTTTAGCAAGAAAAATGTTTAGTGATTTGTGATGTCTAGAGTGGTACACTTAACGGTAACCTTCAGCGTGGCAATAAATTGTTAGCGATGTTCAATTTTAAAGACCTCAACACCGTCGCTAAATACTGCCAAAATTGAATCCTCGCTAAAATTTCTGCTTAAACAGTACATATATTAATCAAACCTAAATTATTAATAATTTTGTCAATTGTTTTATATATATATATATAGATATAGATATAGATATATATAGAGAGAGAGAGAGAGATCTATCTATCTATCTATCTATCTATCTATCTATCTATCTATCTCTCTCTCTCTCTCTCTCTCTCTCTCTCTCTCTCTCTCTCTCTCTCTCTCTCTATATATATATATATATATATATATATATATATATATATATATATATATATATATATATATATATATATATATATATATATATATATATATATATATATATATATATATATATATATATATATTTAAGAAATAAATAACAAGTTTAAAAACTTCAATGGGAATTGAAGTGGGTCGGTCACGTGATCAAATCCTGTGAAGGCCGAAGGCCTTCTCAGAAGATTTGATCACGTACCGACCCACTTCAATTCCCATTGAAGTTTTTAAACTTGTTATTTATTACTTATATATACATTTGAGACGGACAATCGAATGTAATCGAATATAAATATTGCACTAACTGTACGTCGTAGATTTTGACAAATTACGCTAGGTGTAAATCGGCTTGAAAAGCGGTTACGCTTCAAATTCACCTGACAAAGGATTGTTTTGAAGGAAATATTCTGTGAAAAGCTACTTGTGATCAATTATTATAGTGAGCATGTGTCTGGGAATTTTTGTATTCATGAGAACCCATATTCGATGTTAAAAAACTCAAGAAACACGTCCGATGTTTGATACTAAAAAGTTGGAGGAATTGCGGTCGGAAAGGGATGGATGGAGACACTTGTCCGGACCAGATAACTTGAAATCAAGTACAAAATTTGATCAAAAACATAAAATCTACGATTTCAGTAAGGCATATTTATTAATTTATGATGTTGACATGGAGACACTGGCGACAGCTTACATTGTTAAGACAACGTCACAACGATCTCGATGATGGAGGTGTGCCTACCGAACTTCCAAAGTGCAGTGTTTGTCAGCTGTTTGTGGCGTGATTGCATTACATTGATATTTTCCAACAGATTTTCAAATATATTGTGAGTAAAGTTTAATGGAAAAAAAATTATAGCATTCAGAGGTCTGCTAGAAAAATAAGGGTAAACGTTGAGACTATGCAGCTCAGACATGAAACTTATAACACGTAGTCTTCTATTCTCTATGTAAAATCGATCAAGAACTGTATTAAATACTCGTTTACATTGTAAATAAAATGATTATTATTTTACTTGCGTATTTTGTACATTTTTATGCATGAAAAACATGCTATATTGCTTAGTGGAGTAAGTCTTTTTATGTAGATATTACTGCGCTGTGTGATTAGGTCACGTAATGACATATGACCTTCGAAAAACTTCATACAGGTATGAAGTTATTTGCTCTCTGCATGTTTATATAATAGAGAGATACCACAAATGTATATATATATATATATATATATATATATATATATATATTTATATATATATATATATATATATATATATATATATATATATATATATATATATATATATATATATATATATATATATATATATATATATATATATATATATATATATATATATATATATATATATATATATATATATATATATATATATACATGTATATATATATATATATACATGTATATATATATATATATATATATATATATATATATATATATATATATATATATATATATATATATATATATATATATATATATATATATATATATATATATATATATATATATATATATATATATATATATATATATATATATATATATATATATATATATATATATATATATATATATACATCATTTAAGGGGAAGAAGGATCTTGGGCTAAAAAAAATTGTCATTTAACACTTTTCCTATTTTCTATATCACTAAATCAGTATGCTCCATGTATTTTAATGTAGTTATATCGTTATGTTTCTTACTTTATTTCAGAGATATTGCTTAACAAATACCATGCCATATAGTATCTAAGTAGAGTTTCGATTCTCCATGTTTATGGTCCCATCATTCTGTCCATAATTGGATTTTTTAAGCATAGATTAAAAATTTGTGAGTGAACATGTATCTCTTAAAATATTTAAGAATTTAAATACGTTTATAATTCAAAAACGCAAATTGCATATTTTTTCAGAAATTTTAAACTACAGAAAACTTATATTTCCAAACAAAATCTATTATTCAATATTTGAAAATTCATATTGAAACTGGAGTCCTTCATTTTGTTGATTAAGTGTAAAAATATCGAAAGGTAAAGCTTACTTCAATATTGCACAGGACTTAGTAAAACATGATGTAAGCATGTCATGTTTACATTTCTTGTGTTCGGAAAAAAAACAACTTTGACGTCACACATAAGTAAAATAAGCGAAATAAGATATACCTACAAAAGATATATGCCAACAGCCATGTTAAAATATTTTTGGTGTTCCCTAATTTACAAAATACCCTACCATATGCTGATTATGACCCGTTTTAATGTACTAAAACTGCCCGTGCATTCAACGAGTATGCTCTTGATGAACTAAGAGATCATGTATAACATCAACGACGTGTTGGACGCGCTCTATTTGGAAACACAAGACTCGATCAATATATTCTATAATTTGTTAAAATTTGCAAAAAAGTTCAATTTTTTAATATTTCTTATATAAGATGGTGAAGTGAATCAAATTGTCCAAAAATAACACATAACTGATGGTTTAAATTAGGTTTTATACTTATATTATCAGAGACAAGACATAGTTAAACTTAGTCATGTGACCATGTGTCCTTCATCCCCTTAATTACAAAAACTTATAAATAAGATCATGATCTTATTCCCTTTTGTCGCTCCATGTTTGAAGTATTGAAATGTATGTTTTGAATCTTAATGTTTCTTGCTTTATCATTTTGTCTGTATAAATTGTATCTATATACATGTATATTACTTTACTGCTCAGCTAATATTACCAAATATAAAAAGCATGAGGTTTAATAGAGAAAAATCGAACTGAATTATACCTAAGGGGATGCAGGGCACATGTCACATAACATAATTGGCAACGTCATAATCTCAACTAATGCATAATAAATATATCATAAAAAATCAAGAGTAGTTGTATAATTCTTGTATTAATTATTGTGCTTAATCATCTTATATAAGAATGTGTCAGTTTTAACATTCATATCAATACTTTCACATTTACATTTATTTATTGGTTCATTGATTCATTCCGATATTTTCACAGTTTATTATTGAATTTAAGGACGTTTAGTCGTGAATTTAAAAATGTTTCGTGACAGAATGTTTCACATATTTACTTTTAATGTTGTAATTGTCTTGAAAAAGTACTTATCCAATCCATATGCAGTGGGGGATAAAAAAATGTTAAATAATGTTAAGCTGAATTTATATCGTAAAATATTTAAAGAGATATATGTCTTCATTTATATATTTTTATTTGTACTAAAAATTCACGTTAATAACTCAGTAATGGGCCTTTAAATCAAAACCTCATACAGATACGATACTGAGCGATATTTGTGCTGCAATATATCTGAACTAAGTCAAGAAATCTGTTGAAACAATTGCCTTAAAATAAGTAGGTCATTATTAATTAGTAAAATAAAAAAATATGAGCAAAATTCATTGACAGGATTATTTTTTTTCGTATTAATGTCCTACTCCTCCTTAAAAACGGTTACGAGTTCTAGCTAATGTTTAACAATCAGGCAATTGTTTCTTTCGATATCTATGAAAGTGTAAATGAAATTGAATTTGATCATAATGAATCTTCAAAAAGAAAACACATAAAATAGAAAATTTTAGCATTGATTTGTTTGAATTTTTTCTGACCTTAGTTCAGTTTAAAGGGAAGATATTCACTCAAGATATTTATATGCTCAATTTATTTTTTTCAAACGATCAAAGTATCACCATGCTTACTATCAGCTTTGGTACACGCAATGTCGTCATAAGCTTCAAAAAATTCTTTCGCTCTCTTTCGGAACTCCTCGGGAATACATGGATCCAACCCCGTAGGTACACAAGCCTTGTACATGTCAAAGTAGCTAAAAAGTTATGAGAAGTTCTAGTAACTAAGATCTATCGATACTTGTAAAGATGGAATATATGAACTTGATTATATCAATCATATATTATAAAATTCTTGTTTTCTCTCAAAATTCCCTATCATTTCTTAAGTAGTCTATTGTTTTTCATTGTTTTATGTTCTTTACATTATGGACTAGATTAAGGACTATGAAGAATAATGGTAAACAGTTGTCTACTCCTTTTTTATTGAAGTTTCAAATCCTGAATAATCTCCCTCAGAATAGATCGTATTTTGACTAACAAAATATTTCCGGGGGTCTGTGTTTTATATACTTTTTACAGATTTAAAATGTTGTTTGTTTTTTTTTTGTTTTTTGTTTTTTTTTTTTTTTTTTTTTTTTTTTTTTTTGATCGACCACTGTTCGTAATCTTCACCAATTTTCATTTCATACATGTACGCTAACGTAGATAATGGAAGAATAATTTTAGCCGCATAGTTTCATTTTTCACTCAGAGTTATTTTAATGATGTCATATAAAAAAAAAATATACATAGATTTATAGGGTGATGGAACCGGGAAGAACAATGAACATCAAAGAATATCTCAAGTTTATATATATATATATATATATATATATATATATATATATATATATATATATATATATATATATATATATATATATATATATATATATATATATATATATATATATATATATATATATAAGAATTTGTTCAATTTATTATTTACAGCATAATTAAACACATACCAATCCATGCATCAGCTGTTTCCTTTGTATGTTGTCCCCACAAAGACATAAAATACTCAAAAAATATCATTTCATTTTTTTTAAACTATTATGATACTTATTTATTACATTTTTACTTTCACAAAAACCATCCCTAATCTGCGTATATGAGTATACGGGTAAAAACTAATCAAATCTTCAGAAAAAGTGGGATTTATTCTACTGTGAACATGTACTAACTACTCAAATCAATAATAAAACATTAAATACACACAAGCTAAGAACATCAAATATATGTAAGCTTAACCGACCTGCATCCAAAGCTAAAGAGCCCTGGTTTGAAGCGAACTCGCACTCCTTCTGGTCCAGATGTAAAATTTATTCTTTCACTCATTTCTTTCTTAATATCAATCTTACTGTCCATGCACAATTCAGTAGCACATTTGTCATGAGTGGCTAGAGATTTAAAAAAAAACGTATTTTTTGTTATAAGTATAAAACAAGTATACTTCATTTATCTAGTATGCTATTTCACTTTATAACGTCACCCGAAAGCTCGTGCAATTACATGTAGAGAGAGAGAGAGAGAGACTCACCTTCATAGAAGTCAAAATAAAGTGTGACAGTGAAGACTACAGTGAGCAATCGAAAAGAAACCATTTCGAAAACGAACTTTTCTTATCCTCCTTCAGTTCTTCATATCCCTTTGTAGCTTGATACTAGTTTATTTATAAAATATTATCTAGGATTATTACATCTGGAATGCGGTGCGAAATAGAGCCAAATTACCTATTTCCATTGCCAATTGGACGTTTTGAAGATATCTGTTGCATTACAGTAATTTTCATATAATTTTAAAGTATTACGAACTGCATTTATTTGAAACTGTGATACAACAGTTCAGCTAATAGGTATGGCTATTACGGAATGTTCTGTAAACTTAAAATTAAAAAAAGACTAGACATATAATAGTCTACAATAAGGGAAAAACGGCAGTAGGGGGACATTGTGAACGCCTGCATAACATGAACATGATGTATAATTGCTGTATGGCACAAGAAAAATTTGAGAACAAGGATAAGTTATACTCCGAAATTTTTAAGTATAAAACGAGTTTCATGCGACATGATCCGGCAAGTTTTACTTAGAATTAATCCCTAGCATCAAATTAACACATCTTTCGAAAACAAATGTGCATGAAGTCTTTGTTTGCCATCATGCTCGTGTAATAAAAATATGTTGCATTAAATGTAGATGCACGCGTAAAAAAGGTAATTTTTCTGTTCCTTAATGTACTGATACGCAATACATGTAACATCATAAGAAAACTCCATATTCATTCTGAGAGCACTGTTAAACTCGTTATTAGAGCTGAGACTAAGAGAATTAACGAATAAAGCTTTTTGTATGCAAGCCAAATTCTAAACAATTCTTTGTAAAATCGAACGGTCAGGAACTTATAATGGATGAAGTAACATTATTCAGTTTCCCATGGAAGTTAAAAATAGCGTACATGTTTTATAGTAAATTCTTTAGATCTCAAGAGTCAGTCTCTATAATGACTCGATTTTTATGTAGAAGCCGTGACAAGCATAGTATCAGAATTTCTGCAAACACTCTCTGATAAAAGGCTTTGATACCGTAAGCTAAAATCAGGCAAAATTTGGTGTTATGTGTCATGGTTACCATGGCAATATGTCTTAAAGTTTGAAAAATGGCATTTTAACATATTTAGAGCCCAATAGTTAAAATTTGCAGGAAAGCAAACAAGTGGCAATGACTTTTCCGAAGGTCTGATGTCTGAAACACATGACAAACGTGTTTGGGAAATCAACAATTACGTACGTTACTATGGAAACAAATTATTCAAAAGTAAAAATTTTATTCATTTACTTTTATTATGTCATATACGTAATAATAAAAACAATGATAGGTTGACATGCAACCTAATAATAGAGAAAAGAGCTTTTAAACATATACCAAGAAAAACATATGATATTTTTCATTGGTTGGCAATGGTTGTCATGGTTTTTACACCACAGGGAGGCTTCAAATTTACACTCTGTATGTTTTAAGCTGATCATTTTAAAAAGCAGACTTCTATACGACTGCTGATCATTTTTTTAAAGGCGTTGGTATGGTCCTAATTTTCACATTTAAAAAAATTCAAATTAAATTCTTTGAATAGAGCTTTGCTATGGAAATTAGCAGAGAAAATATGCGTAATTTTTTTTTAAAATATTTTGTTTCCCTGGATACCTAGCCTTATATGTAGATTTCCAAAACTTTTATGATTGATACTTATGAACAACTAACCTGACTATCAATTTTGATTACCATCCAATCTCTAAATGGATGCAAGATAATAATATAAGCTTAACAGCATGAACTAAGTTGAACATTTTCCCTTCTTGGTAACTATTCATGCAGCAACAATGTTTTCTTTATTAAACTTTTTCAATATACGATATTCAACTTTAGTCCTACCAGATAAGTATTATTCAAGTTGAATCAAATAATACGTTTCTTGATTAAATGGTAAGTAAATTCCTAAAACAGCAAAAAGTATCACTTTAAACCACTGGTACGTTGTTACCATGGTTACACTGCACCGTAGCAATTAATCCCATTTTTTATGTTGTTAATGTTGCAAGGTCCTAAGGGTGTATATTTGCCAGTCTTGAATTTTTATGTTTTTTGTCAAGAAAGTATATGTATCATTAACCCAATCTTAGTAACAGATTTTGCTTGGATAAACTGTGTTACCAAGGCAACCATGAAAGTTATTTTTAGAATAACATTTCCATTTCAATTACTTAAGGTCAAAAAATATATTGATATATTGTTTTTTCTTACGTTGTTGCTTGGGTTTGATCATATAACACACATCAATAGTGAATATTATGCGTTTTTCAGCAATTTTCAATATCTAAAATGTATTCCAAATGTATCCATGGTTACCACTTACTTAGAAAAATATTCTAAGCATTTTCGTCATAGCATAAGTGGCAACAATGTGTTATGTTTTTAAGAGAATAGTTTGTTTGTTTTTCTTATTTTCTATTAGGGCTCAATACAGAAGTAGCTGAAAATTGTCAATTTTTCAAACTTTTTCGGCTGTTGCAATGGCAACCAGGAAACAGCAATCAAATTTTATTTGATATATGTTTCTGGTGTCAAGTGGTAATAATTGGCAAAGTTTCATCAAAATCGGTGGCTATGCGTGGCAAAGAAGTTTAAGTGATTAAAGAGAATAGCTATTAAAACTTACCTTATTGAAATGAAATTATTCGTATTTATATTCGAAATTCAATTAATCTGAAAATGTTCGTACCCCAGATTGTATTACTTCAGGAAGACATGCATATTGAGAATTTGCAATGTATATATTTTCTTTCTTTGTTGTTTAACGTTCCTCTGAGAATTTTTCACTCATATAGAGACACCAAATATTTATTTAAACGAATTCGTTAAACAAATAACTGATAGATAAGCAAAGTAAATTCACAAGTTTCCTGAACTTTGCTATATCAGATCAAGATGTACTGCATAATTTAAACAAAACTACTTCTCCACCGTCATTTGTCGTTCCCCTTAAATTTTAAGTCTAAAGTCCAAATCTCATCATTCCGAAAGAAAACAAGCTCACTGTCAGATAAACAGACATTCAGGCAGAAAGACTGTTTGAAATATAAATTACAATGCGCTTAGTCACCAAAAATGATTATCTAGCCAATGATTTCTTTAACTGGAAAATCTATTATCATCTCCTGTTATGCTACAGAAGCATCAAGAGCGGGAAGAATCTCTTGACAAACTGGGTGATTGAAAACAACAGTACTGAGGATCCTTTGGAACATGTCAAACTGGTGCAAGAGGATAAACAATCTCACAAAGAAGATAGTAATCATGAAAGTACGCGGATATGTTACAGTGTAAGGCTACGCCCATCTTTCTTAGCTTGCATCTACAAAATGCCATTGTAAGCTATATGACGTGAATTTTAGAAATAACGATTTCTTATTTCAAGTCAATTAAAAAAATTGAAACATGCAAAATATAATGACTGAATCATGACATCTTTGTATGGTACATGTATGTATAACGAACTATTTGTCACGGTGGTTAATATACCTTGACGTCATAGCTTTTGATCAAATATTCGCCAAATGAAAATAAAAACAAGAAACAAGACGAGAGTTGGAAGTTCAAAAGAACATACAGTGATTAGCATATGTGCTTTATAAGGAATAAATTTTTAAAATCAGGTATGCTGATTTATTTTCCTGTTTTTTTTTTTTTCTTCTTACAATTAAGTCAGATAGTGTTTTGAAATCCCGATCAGCATTTTTTCTGTCGTCCTCAACAACAGAGATGCATATCCTTTTACATAGGTTAAAATAAGCTTCATTCCTTATAATTTTATTTCAGTGTAGACAATAAGACACGGTTTTCCTCCACAAATGGCTTCAAATTGAGTATATTTTAAAAAGTAACGCCAAGCGGAGTAATACGTTTTTGAACTCAATGTGACCAAGGCAACTTATATTATACAATATAAACGAAATCTTTTATCCAATCAAATGTCGTGTTACAACTAAAATTAAATCATAACACAATACAAAACTTGCGTCCCTTTTAACATTTGTAATCATCATAAACATAAATGTAATAACATTACAACTTTGAGAACAATTATCTATTTCTGTCAATATTGAAACTTGTGTTGTATAGTACTTGGAAAGTGCTGCTAGAATCGTGCATTTGACATGAATTGATAAAACTTCTTCGATCTTCTGTACAAATTAAATTGTATAAAAAGGTTGGTAAGGTTTCATTCGACAGTGTGGAATAATTATTTTTATGACAGGAGAGTCGAATTCAATCAGCACCTTTCAATACCCAGAGATACATTTTTTATATTTTTTTTACAAATAGAAACAAATTATCGCCGGGTTAGTCTTGAACTTTTCACTTCCCATTACGACATATTTTTCTGTTTATATACATCACATTATGACATTATAGTGGATTGCTTCGACTCACTGGCGTCTTTACATCGGATAATGATTGTATATGTTTATCCGTGCCTTTACAGGGTCATCAATGTAAAATTTTACCAAAAAATAGTTTCCCTGATAATGATCCGAATGATGCCTAAACATACCTGATTTTAGGAGAAGTATTTTTAGGAAAGATCTTACACTTTGTAAAATCCCTTTACCATACCTTTTGATAAAGCGGTTTCAGTATACTCGTAGATGTTTCCTCTTTGAAATCGTGTAACAGTCGACTATAGACTTTAATTGTATGTCTATCATATGAATAAAAAACAAACTTTAAACAAATAAACAAACAATATTTTTTATATCACATATATTAATACTCAGGATTAATTTCAGTTTAAACATTATTAGATAAAGAATTAGCTTTTCATATAACTATATGTTCAAGTACATGTTACCGGAAGCATACTACATGTAAAACATATCGATTTTCATTGCATTTAGAATAAGAATGTACAATATTATCTTTTTCACTGTTAAGCTCAATAAAAATGTCCATTGTAGCTGTAGAATTTACAAATGAAAGGTTAATTTATCATTAAACGATGTTCTGTCCACTACACTGTAAACTTACATGTATATTACAGGTAAGTGAATTGTGAATTAGATTAATTAAGGTATAAGATATTCACCAGACAGAAACAGACAGG